AGCAAAAAATGAAAATATTATTTTATATATAGGTGCAACCTTAAAAATAAATATATACTTTTATCTGTTTTTTAAAAAAAAAATTATATATATATATATATATATATATATATATATATATATATATACATACAGTACACTGTATATCCTAGAGTTTAAAAAATTACCTTGATTTTTCATTTGTTGGGTAGCTGTGATTTTTTTTTTTTATTGGTCATCTTAGGCTCAAAGGTTGATAGTTTTTTTTTTTCAAAATAAAACCCTGCTAGTTCATTTTATTTATTTATTTATGCTCTTATTTTCAGTTCCTGTCTCAGAAATGCAACAGAAAGTGAGAGGAAATTTCTACAAGATGAAGGAATCCCCTCTTAGTTGTCACCAGATCATGTGTGGTCCAGATTGGTCCTCACCTCTTGGTCGGCTGACAACTGTAATGCTTTTGATTCTCCATTGCCTTCTGTCTCGGTGACGATGGTCACTGGGAGAAATAGAGAGGGTGACTCTAGCTAGCAGGGACACATGCAAAAATGAAAACATGAAAGGGGCTCAGTGATTCCACACTCTATCCAAAAAATACATACTTGTTAGATATGTGTAGAATGGAGAGGAAAACTGTGGAGGAAAACTTTATCTGAAATATCTTATTAACAGGGGCGGACTGACCATTTGGAAACTCGGGCACTGCCCGAGGGCCTGGGGTTAGTAGGGGGCCCCATGAGATGACACTGGTACTTTTTCATAGGCTTTTTTGAGTTTGGGCAAGGACAGAGGGGCCCCATGATCCCTATTGCCCGGGGGCCCCATGAGTTGTCAGTCCGCCCCTGGGTTCAGGCATAACTGAAATAATAATAATCAATCAATAATCTGTGTGCTGTGAGCATGAAATTGTCCAAAATGTCTTGATATGCTGACGTCCAGGGGCGGACTGACCATTTGGAAACTAGGGCACTGCCCGAGGGCCCGGGTCAGTAGGGGGCCCCATGATATGCCCCTGGTACCTTTTTCATAGGCTTTTTTGAGTTTGGGCAAGGACACAGGGGCCCCATGATCCCCTATTGCCCGGGGGCCCCATGAGTTGTCAGTCCGCCCCTGCTGACGTCTTAAGAGTTCCCTTCACTGGAACTAGGGGGCCAAGCCCAACCCCTGAAAAACAACCCCACACCATATTCCCCACTCCACCAAACTTTACACTTGGCGCAATGTAGTCAAGCAAGTACCGTTCTCCTGGCAACTGCCAAACCCATACACATCCATCGGATTTCCAGACAGAGAAGCGTGATTGGTCCCCCCAGAAAACACGTCTCCACTGCTCTAGAGTCCAGTGGCGGTGTACTTTACACCACTGCATCCAAAGCTTTGCATTGCACTTGGTGATGTAAGGCTTGGATGCAGCTGCTCTGCCATGGAAACCCATTCCATGAAGCTCTCTACGCACTGTTGTGCTAATCTGAAGGTCACATGAAGTTTGGAGGTCTTTAGCTATTGACTCTGCAGACAGTTGGCGACTTCTGCGCACTTCAGCATGCGCTGACCCCGCTCTGTCATTTTACATGACATACCACTTTGTGGCTGAGTTTCTGTTGTGCCCAGTTGCTTCCACTTTGTTATGATACCACTAACAATTGACCGAGGAATATTGAGTAACAAGGAAATTTCACAGATGGACTTATTGCACAGGCGGCAACCTATCACGGGACCACGCTTGAACTCACTGAGCTCCTGAGAGTGACCCATTCTTTCACAAATGTTTGTAGAGCAGTCTGCATACCTAGGGGCTTGATTTCATACACCTGTGGCCATGGAGGGGATTGGAACACCTGAATCCAATGATTTAGAGGGCTGGAACAATACTTTTGGTAATATAGTGTATATACACGGCTCAAAAAAATTTAAGGAACAGTTTGAAAACACATCAAATCTCAATGGGGAAAAATCTCCTGCTGGATATCTATAGTAATATGGACGGGGTAATATGTTAGGAAGGTAAGAATGCCCCATCTTTGAGTGGAAATGAAATTTATCAACCTACAGAGGACTGAATTCAAAGACACCCTTAAAATCAAAGTTAAAAAATGATGCATCAGGCGAGTCCATTTTGCTGAAATTTCATTGTAGCAACTCAAGATGGTACTCAGTAGTTTGTATGGCCCCCACGTGTTTGTATCAAAGGCATGCTCCTAATGAGTCGACGGATGGTGTCCTGGGGTATTTCCTCCCAGATCTGGACCAGGGAATCACTGAGCTCCTGAACAAGTGCAACCTGGCAGCATCGGATGGACCGAAACATGATATCCCAGAAGTGTTCTATTGGATTTAGGTCAGGCGAGCGTGGGGGCCATTCAGTGGTATCAATTCCTTCATCCAGGAACTGTCTGCATACTCTCACCACATGTGACCGGGCATTGTTGTGCACCAGGAGGAACCCAGGACCCACTGCACCAGCGTAGGGTCTGACAATGGGTCCATTTCATCTTAATACCTAATGGTAGTCAGGGTGCCATTGTCTAGCCCAGCAATGGGCAAACTACGGCCCGCGGGCCGTATACCGCCCGGCGGACCTTTTAATCCGGCCCGCGGAGCCTGATACTGTCAGGATGGCTGTCAGGATGTGTGTAGGCGGGGCAGCGTGACGAACGTGACGGGAGCTAGGCTCCTCTCACAGTCCGCCCTGAAGACCGGTGTACCATGAAAATCTGTCTCCTATGAGGATCTGTCCCCCTCGACGTATCTGCGCATGTGCCGGAGATCGCCGATCGGCTGCTAATGCCTGAAACTGGCACATGCGCAGATACATCGAGGGGGACAGATCCTCATAGGAGACAGATTTTCATGCTACACCGGAACGGCGTGGGAACACGGCGAGAGGAACGCGCGGAGCAAAGGTAAGTGAATTGACACAGGACGGGACTTGGGGACTTAATATGGGGGATGAATTAATATGGGGAATGAATTACTATGGGGGATGAATTACTATGGGGGATGAATTACTATATGGGGGATGAATTACTATATGGGGGATGAATTACTATATGGGGGATGAATTACTATGGGGGATGAATTACTATGGGGGATGAATTACTATATGGGGGATGAATTACTATGGGGGATGAATTACTATGGGGGATGAATTACTATGGGGGATAAATTACTATGGGGGATGAATTACTATATGGGGGATGAATTACTATGGGGGATGAATTACTATATGGGGGATGAATTACTATGGGGGATGAATTACTATAGGGGGGATGAGTTACTATATGGGGGATGAATTACTATATGGGGGATTACTATATGGGGGATGAATTACTATGGGGGATTAATTACTATATGGGGGATGAATTACTATGGGGGATGAATTACTATATGGGGGCTGAATTACTATGGGGGATGAATTACTATTGGGGATGAATTACTATGGGGGATGAATTACTATATGGGGGATGAATTACTATGGGGGATTAATTACTATGGGGGAGGAATTACTATATGGGGGATGAATTACTATATGGGGGATGAATTACTATGGGGGATGAATTACTATATGGGGGATGAATTACTATAAGGGGGATGAATTACTATATGGGGGATGAATTACTATGGGGGATGAATTACTATATGGGGGATTAATTACTATATGGGGGATGAATTACTATGGGGGGTGAATTACTATATGGGGGATGAATTACTATATGGGGGATGAATTACTATATGGGGGATTAATTACTATATGGGGGATTAATTACTATGCTTACTATGGGGGAATATTACTATACTTACTATGGATGACACATACACATCATTCATCTACTCTTGGTAAGGCCCCCGGGTCCAATATATGAACCCATTGCGGCCCTCAAGTCAAAAAGTTTGCCCACCCCTGGTCTAGCCTGTAGAGGTCTGTGCGTCCCTCCATGGATATGCCTCCCCAGACCATCCCTGACCCACCACCAAAACAGTCATGCTGAACGATGTTACAGGCAGCAGAACGTTCTCCATGGCTTCTCCAGACCCTTTCACATCTGTCACATGAGCTCAGGGTGAACCTGCTCTCATCTGTGAAAAGCACAGGGTGCCAGTGGTGGACCTGCCAATTCTGGTGTTCAATGGCAAATGCCAATCGAGCTCTATGGTGCCGGGCAGTGAGCACAGGGCCCACTAGAGGATGTTGGGCCCTTAGGCCACCCTCATGAAGTCTGTTTCTGATTGTTTGATCAGAGACATTCACACCAGTGGCCTGCTGGAGGTCATTTTGTAGGGCTCTGGCAGTGCTCATCCTGTTCCTCCTTGCACAAAGGAGCAGATACCGGTCCTGCTGATGGGTTAAGGACCTTCTATGGCCCAGTCCAGCTCTCCTAGAGCAACTGCCTGTCTCCTTGAATCTCCTGGCTGGGAGACCTTCTAGCAATGGCAAACCTTCTAGCAATGGTATGCATTGATGTGCCACCTTGACTGTCATTATTTACCTGAAATTAAAAAGAAGAGGTACAGAGGAAGAATTACTATACAAACAGTGTAGCACTACTCTCGTAGGAGCCACAGGAATACCAGCCAGGTCTTCCCCAAAAGCTTTGTCCTGAAGCCATAAAGGCTGTAAAAGCAATAATTTCACTTTCTCTTTGGCTTCATTCCTGCATCCATTGAGAAATACTGTGAGCTGTGATTGATCACACCTTGTCACATGGTACAAGGCTGTTGTGAATAGCCCTGTACCATGTGACCTCTGTGATCATTCACAGATTTCATTAGCAGTAAGCAATGATGTCAGCAAGTGACATCTTGCTTACTACTATTCATGTGATTAATGATTGGCCAATCAGTGATCAAATGAATCGGGATCTCACATGAATCGGGACCTCCGTACACAGCGGGCACCAGATCGCGGAGCCGCACACTCCCAGGGAGCGCGCACAGGCAGGGAAGCGGGAGGATGTTTTATAAATGGCCATCTGCTCCTGCACTGCTCCCTTCTGGCCGTTTATATACAGACAGACAGAGGTCCCATACAGTGATCGGTGTTCCACTGTGTCCTCCAGACACAGCGGGCACCAGATCGTGGTGCCACCTGCTCCCAGGGAATGCGCACATGGCAGAGGCCATTTATAAACGACCACCCGCTCCTGCACTGATCCTGTCTGGCCATTATGTACATGGGCTGACATGAAGTGGTTAAAAGTGGTTGTAAACCTCAGACACAAACTATGAACAAAGCATATCCCTCTATAGTGTGTACTTGTCTCAATTAAGAGCACTAAGTGTCATTTCTGTCTGCTGCTTCGTTCCTCTGCTATCAGCATGAATCACTTTGGACAATTTTTCCAGACACGAAGAAAAAAATAGTGACAGGGGAGGGACCTCCACTAGATTTGGCAGCCTCATCTATGTTCCTGTGAGCTGTGTGGAGGGGGGGTGTCTCTTCTCTCCAATCAGCTCTCAGAGCTCTCTTCCATGAGCTCTGCAGAGAGTAACTCCAGCTCTCCACCCCCTTTTTTGACAGCTCTGCAAACGTTATAAATTCAGCACTTTGAATAGATGTAGAGAAGAGAATACAGCAGATAAAGAGGTACAACTTATGTAGGAGGATTTGTTCCATCTCTGTGCATTACCTGAGTCCAGTCACTTGACCAGGTATATGTAAGGGTTTACAGTCACTTTAATTGTTGCCTTGCCAACCGGGGGTGGACTGACCATTTGGAAATTCGAGCACTGCCTGAGGGCCCAGGGTCAGTAGGGGGCCCCATGAGATGCCCCTGGTACCTTTTTCATAGGCTTTTGTGTGTTTTGGGCAAGGACACAGGGCCCCCATGATCCCCTATTGCCCGGGGCCCCATGAGTTGTCAGTCCGCCCCTGCTTGCCAATAAATAACCTCAATATATTTAACAATATAGTATTATAGCAACAGAACTCAGCATATAAATTTAAACTTTGCATTTTATACTTTGTTTGCCTTTTTGTAAAGTCAAAAGGGTAACAGTTCACTGCAGAAAAAAATAATCTGTTTCATCAATCTGGGCAGGAATACCACTCATTATAGTTACACATGGATTAATTATCCATGCATATTGAGGTTTCAGTAGTAGCCAAATTTCTCATTATTCGCTGAGAATAAAACGTCTGAGCCTTTGAAACTTTTATTCAAGACACAAATCAACTGGCACTAAACTTTTTGGAAGTTAACAAGCGAATTTTTTTCCCCTTTCCTTTAATTCCACAAGCTATTGAGTGTATATTGAATTAACCTCTAGAGAAAAGTATAATGATTCAATTAGACCGCTTGGTAAAAATTAGTGGGAAAAAAAAATCATATTTCAACTTTCAAGTTGCTCCAGAATTTTAGTAGGGGAAAAATTGCCAGCAAAATATTTGGCCATCAAATCTTCACATTCAACTTCTTTTTTTTTTTTTTCATTCTAGACTTTATTGACCATTTCCTGCTATGTTTTCCTTAGCCTTGAAATATCAAACCTTCACTTAAATTTTGATTTTATAAATATACTGTATCCTGACCATAAAAAAAAAAAAAATTACCTAGGACTGTCTAGGCTTGTTCCAAAAACACCTTGACTATTAAAATTCTTAATTAGAAATAACACCATTTTCTGAATCTGAAGGGTGTTCACTCTGGACTGGAATCTGGCTCTTTCTAAGGAACAGATTGTGTCCATTTGAGCTCCCTATATGTTTGGGGAGTTTGTAAAAAAAAAAAAGAAGAAAAAATTGTAATCCCACCCTTGGAAAAATATATCCATTCTCCAACTGTGCACTGTTCCCAGTGCCTATTAAAAAAATAAAAAAGGAAAGGGGGGAAAAAGAAGAATTGGAAAAAAAACTTAGTCTCATTGCCAAAACCTAGATGGAGTCTAGCAATTAACAGGTACTTATGAAAAAATAGAGAGGAAATTGGGATTTAAGGCTGTGGAGCAATTACATTTTAAAGTGCTGTAAGAAAACAGAAGGTTAATGAGGTTGGTTTGACTTTATCGAACCGTATAACCCCGCGCCGTGTATTTCTTTTTACGAATCACAAGTAAAACATTGAGTGTATTAATAAATTAATGCATAAAACAATTTTTTACATCTGCTTTCGCTTCTAGACAATTTTCTTACCTCATTGACGGCAGGACACAGAGGACTAGTTTCTAATGAAAACATGTGGAATCAATATATTTTTAACGTATAACGTAGAAGTAGCCAAGAGTGGGTTTTTCATGTTTTTGCTTTTTTTTATAGTTTATGTTTTATATATTTGTGGTGTTTACTATGATGAAGGTGTAAATAGTAGTAGTCACATTTAGCTGGACTTGTTTTGTAATGCTGAAGATGTTTTTACCACCCATCTGAATAGTTTGCACAACTGATGAATGAATTGGACCTGGAGGAGTAGTGAAATATTTTGCATGTTTAATAAAAAAACAAAGTCCAGTTGGACATGAATAACCACTACTAGGTATGCCATGACCTGGATAAATGAAAACCTTTACGGATGCTTTTTGATGAGGAGGTTGAGGAACCGGCATGAGAAATGATTCATGCTCTATGAAGGACATTTTCTAGCTTAGTGTAGATGGTGAATGTTGGAAGAGTGTAAGAATCGCGATCAGAAATGAGCATGCGCATAGGAATTCCCGCAAAAGAATTGCCGGTTGTGCGCATGCGCGCATAAATCTGCGGTCGCGCACACGCACGTGCACATGCACGGCGTAGATTGGCACCAGACGGCCTATTTAAGGAGTGCCTCTGCTCATGTTCAGTGCTGACTGGTCTTCAGCTCCCCCATGTCCTGCTTGTTCCTGTGTGATTCCTTTGTTGCTGACCCGGCTGTTCCTCACCTGACTCTGATTGCTCTCCTGATACTGGTTCCTGACTTCGGCTCTGCTTCTGACCTTGGCTTTTCCTTCTGATTCTGTACCGTGCTGCCCGACTGTTGATGACCCTGGCTATTCCATGACATTGCTCCTGTCTCTTGTCCTCACTGCCTGCCTTGCTCTGGTGCACGCCTGGCAATCTGCAAAACCTGCTCTGCCTACTACTACTGTGCCAAAATCAGAGGATCATCAGCCTTCCAAGGTCTTCATCTGCAAGAGCTGCAAACAACAACTACTGGCACTCTTGTTCCCCTGGGTCCTAGACTCCCTCTGTTCCAACTCCAGCGGGGTCGGGGCTAGTGACACAAGTGAGGCCGACCTCGTCATTTCAGTCTCCCATCAGGTACATGACAAAGAGGTAGCCTGGAGATTGCATTCCTAGGCAACTTATTAAGAGAGTGACAACGTATGAGGCAGTAGCCAGGGAGTCTCCCTGACTGGATGTGTGTGGAGATGGTCAATGGAGAATCAGCCAAGGGTATGCAGGTTGTGAGCTAACCACTACAGAGACCCTACTGTCCCCAAGATATGGGAGCTTGCCATTCATGAGAGAGAAATTGTAGATGCAAAAATGTACATGATCTGTAAGCAATTTTTGGACTGCACCTTCAAGTAACGACTAAGTTAGTCATACAAAAACCATATTGCAAGAAGTATGTGGAGAACCTTCTGAATGATTGAGTCCAGGCATTTGCAGTGAAAGGTACTGTCAAAGTTATAACATACAAAGACATCTTAGACCATTTGGTTTTACTGAACTTGTGACAACAGTTTGGTGAAGGCCCTTGTCTGCCCTGACATGACTGTGCCCCTTTAGCCAGTTCCATAAAGACATGGTTTGATTAGGTTGGTGAAGAGGAACTTGAGTGACCTGCAAAGAGCTCTGACCTCAACCCTGTAGGGCACCTTTAGGATTAATAGCAATGACGATCGCAAGCTAGGTATTCCCATTCAGCATCATTACTGTACTTGACCTAACAAATCTACTTCAAGACCTTGTGGAAAGCTTTTCCAAAAGAGGGGAGGCTGTTATAGCCGAAAAACATTTGTGTGTATTCATGACAATGGTGGTATGATTTAATATTAAAGTACATCTAACATTCAAACTTTTTTCTTAGGTTTTTTTTTGAGTGGTAAGGGTTAGAACTCTTGCAAGGTTTTTATTTTTATCCAGGGTGATCCCCCATCTTTATTTGTTCATTAAGAAATGGAAATTATGAGAAAAGGCAACATTTTTGAGTTCTCCATTGAACAGGGAGAGAGGGGAAATCTTCCTATAGGAACACCTGTTTTGATGATAACTGTCCAAGAATGGATTTATCTCGTGTTGGTGAAATTTTCTCTTATTTACAGTCATATCTACAATGGGACTTAGAAGGAAAAAATGGGTTTTAACAATGTCTTGCTTTGTTATACAGTTACATAGTTAGTCTGGCTGAAAAAAAAAGACAAAAGTCCATCCAGTTCAACCATAGAAAAAAAAAAGTTATAATTCTATACCCATAGTTGATCCAGAGGAAGGCAAAAAAAAAACGCAGCAAAGCACGATCCAATGATGTCCAAAAATGACTTTAGATATACTTTGATTCCCTTGATTTTGGAATTGGTCTATGAGCAAGATCTTATAAGTGTGTTGTCCAGGTGTCAGCAAACTATGTTTTCACTCAGAACCCTTCCCAAACATGGGGAGAGCTTAAAAACTTCAATTCAGCCCTAATGGCAACCATACTAAGACCCTTGGCACTGCCACTCCACAAAGCTACCCAGCAAGCCAGCAGTCTTCTCCCATAAATATCACGTCCTCTTACACATACTGTAATATGTTTCACAGCAGTTGACGACTTGACATGTTTATTAGGTAACAGCTGATTTCATTGTAATTAGAGCTTCTGTGTAAAAATGATGTGTGCGTTTTACTCATCGGAATGTCCGTCAGTTTTTATCAAACCTTTACCTTGTGACTGACGTAGATGTGATTTCCACGTCTTTCTACACAGTCTGTTTTGTAATTTTTTTTTACGGGAAGACCAAGCCTTGGAAAATTTTCAATGAAATCATTCACAGGACACATATGGGTGCCAGACCACAATCTAATTAAATGGGAAGCCAGCATATAATAATAAGCTTGTCTTAA